ATAATGATAGTGATGACAATGGCAATCATGATGATAATAATGATAATAATGATAATATTAATGATAATAATGATAATATTAATGATAATAATGATGATAATAACAATAACAATAATAATAATAATTATCATAACAGTCAAAATAACAATAGATATAATTCTAATGATAATTATAATGATAACGATAATGATAATGGAAGAAAAAAGAAGAAAAAGAAAAGAAAGAAGATAAAAAAAGAAAAAGAAGAAAACAGAAAAAAAAGAAAAACAACAAGAACAAATATGAATAAATATATATTTACATTATATTGAAATCTCACTTCATGGATGAATAATCAATTAAAAAGAATATCAAACAGTAAACAAAAAAGGTAAAACATAAGAATCAACTCGAAAATAACAATAACATTTCGAAATCCCCCCCCCTCGCCCGCCCTCGCCCCCCCCCCCTCGCCTGGTCAGAGCAGCGGCCCGGAATCCACACGGCTTGTCGCGTTCGGTGGACCCGCCCTGAATCCATGCATGAATTCGGGTACAGAAGCGGGTACAGGTGGCTTGGTTGGTCTTGGGACTAATTACTATCCTCGGTTTTGTTGTTTTTCTTGTTTATTTGTTGATATTTAGTTGTTGTTTTTGTTTGTTTGTTCGTTTGTGCTATTTTGTTTCTGGTTTTGTTATGTATTTCTTTAATTTGTTTCTCTCTTCTTTTTGTTCTTGTGCTTGTTTGTCTTTGGCTTTGTCTTCGTCTTGCCTTTAGTCGTTGTAGTTGTAGTGGTGGTGATGGTAGCAACTTTATTTTCCTTTTCCTTGTATTTCTATTTTTATTCTCTCTCTTTCTCTTTTCTCTCTCTTTCTCTCTCTCTCTCTCTCTCTCTCTCTCTCTCTCTCTCTCTCTCTCTCTCTCTCTCTCTCTCTCTCTCTCTCTCTCTCTCTCTCTCTCTCTCTCTCTCTCTTAGTTTTCCTCTTTTTTCTCTTTCCCCTCTTTTTCTTTCTCCCCTTCCCTCTTTCCTTCCTAACCTCTTCCTATTCCTATTCCTTTCCTCTTCTCTTCTCTTCCCTCTTTTCTACTCCATTCCTTTCTGTTCTCAACCTTCATCTTATTATCTTTCTTTTCCATTTTTTTCGTTTCCTTTCTCTTCTCTTTTCTTTTTTTCATTTCTTTTCTCCTCTTCTTCCCCGCTCCCCCTCTTCTTTATTCCTCTCCCTCTCCATCTCTTCTCTTATTCCTCTCCCTTCCTCTCTTCTCCATC